TACATTGATACATGTCCGTACGTAGTGGAATTGATCGACAACATAGAATCAGCTGGTTTCTAAACCCGGCGTATAGTTGATATCGCGTGCCGTTAGTTATGAGAGCGGCTACCGATCCCCTGTTCCCCACACCACGAAAGTACACTTCCCTAAGTGCTTATAACGAAGATTGCGTTAGGCAAGATCTAGATGATTTACAGGCGTCACTGCAGAGTTCAAGTGGTAACCGCTTGAAGATAGTCACGTGGCAATTTCGAGCAGTTTTTGATCCCACAGCAAATATCCTTTCCTACAACAGGTGATGGGAATCTGTGGAGCAAGGTGAATTAAGTTGTTCGTAGGGGCAGCCTTTTCTAGCTCCATTGTTAAAAAACTACGTTATCGGAGAATCTGGTTTCCGAGATGAAAGTTTACTCATCCAATGCCCCTGCAGTCAGCTACAACATAGGATCAGGCACATTTACGTATCGGTACAAGTTTTCACACCTCATTAGCACGAGATGATTATTTATTTATTTATTTTAACACAGACATTGGTACAAGGAGGTACCAAATACATATGCGCAACACAAATCTCATTTGATATGTGTGAGGGCTGTGATACTGCCCGGATGCCCAGACCGAAGCAGGTGGTTTTCTTAGGGGACCACACCCCGAGCCTTCGACGTGAACGTCTGATCCACAAAGCAGTGGAGCATCGTAAGGAGATTCAGTCCCATGGTAGCCGGTGACCAACGATTGGTTCATACGCCATTTGTTCTTTCAGGATCCTGGAGCCCATGTGCACTATTGATTTGGGATCCGGTTATAGCGCCGGATATTCGCTATTCGTCCTCTCATTTTCGTAAACAACACCCCCGCCACGAGAAGTCAGTGAGTAGGACTTCCCTGGCAGAGGCTGTATACGCGTGGCTGTGTGAGAGTATTTCGAGAGGGAGAGCGGACTTTACCACACGCTCGGCCGTACCAGGGCATTTGGAGGCACAACAAGATGAACACCAAATTCATAGAAGTAGATACTTCACTGGCAGTAATGTATAAAAGAAAGATTGTGTATAAGGATATAGGACCGGAAGAAAGAGTTAGTCGGTAGAAAGTAAGATATAAAGCAATTTTAATCTCAAGGTTTAAGGTAAGACAAAGAGTGTATACACCGACGCCGTTGTGATCGATTCTGAGCCATGTCACCAAGAGTCTCCAAACATTGGTTACGATAGTCACGCGGACTCCAACCAAGTAGTCTGCATCTACCCACATGGTTAAGACCAGAAGTTAGTGACTTCAAGCACTGATGCCACGTTTTGGTTTGGCCACCCCTAACTTTCTTCCAACCATCCCCAACGCCGGACAGCATTACGCGTCGTGGTAATCGGTGTTCAGGCATACGCAACAAATGACCCAACCATCTCAGTAGATGAAGATTCATAACCTCATCAACTGATTTGTTTCTAAGGCACCTGTGGTCACATACTAGTAACTTACGAGTATCTTCTACTCTTAATGGCCACGTTTCGCAGCCGTAAAGTAGAACAGAACGAACTGCTGTACAGTATACTCGTCCCTTAATTGATAGACGGATATCTCGCCTTCGCCATAGATGACGTAAGTTGGCAAAAGCCAAATGAGCGTTCTGGATCCGTACAGAGATTTCGTCAGACACCAACACATTTGAGCTTATCAGACTTCCAAGATAAGCTAAGTTGTCGACGCGTTCAACTACTTCACTCTCTATCATTAGTTCAGGTGTTAACGCAGACCAGCGCTGGAGCAACAACTTTCATTTCGAGGTGGAGAAACGCATCCCAAACATCCTGGCATTGTTGCTCAGTACTACCAAACGATTGCATTTTATCAGCGACTTCACCAAACAGAAATATGTCATCTGCGTATTCTAAGTCGATAAGTGGACCTCCTGGAAGAAGATCAATGCCCGATGATTCAGTCGACGAGAACGTTATTTACACCAGTAGATCTACGATGAAGTTGAACAGAAATGGAGATAGTGGACAGCTTTGCCGGACATCACTTGAGGTTGCGAAATCGGATGACAGTTCGCCACAACCTCTGACTCGACTAGTAGTGTTCGAGTAAAGAGACCTCACAGGGTTTATCTACTTCTGAGGTGCACCTTTCAACGACAGATACTGTCACAGAACCTCTCGGTCTACAGAGTCAAATGCTGCCTTTAATTCAAGAAAAACTATCATTGTCGGACGCCGATAAGCATGTTTGTGTTCTAGAAACAGACAGATAGTGAATATGTTGTCGATGCAGCCATGACCAGGTCTGGAGCCAACCTGATTTTCTCGTGTTTGCAGTTGACGACTTTTTGTTAGGTGCCCGATAATTATTGAAACTAGTATTTTAGATGCTATGTTAGTCAAACTAATCCCTCTATGGTTTTCGCAGGATGATTTTGACCACTTCTTATATATTGGGACAATTAGTGATGGCGACCCGTCGGATGGGATTACGTCTAACTCCCAGATTTTAGCTAAAATATTAGTTAGCCTAGTCGCTAAGACTAGACCACCATCCCTAAAGACTGATTTAGTAGGTCAGGTCGTAGGTGGTCATATTCCACGTGCAACATGATTGCTTTAGATTTGCTGAGCATGCTCTTGACAGATTTGTGGTAGTTGTCAGCAAACCGGAAATAAGGTAGTCTTAAAAGAGATAAACAAACAAAGACGCTCAGTGAAGAAAATAAGATGGTTTTCGACAACGTTAGTATCGATGGAACATGCATCGACAATAGTGAGTATATGTTGAAGCTCAGCACCATCACAAAATGGTGTACCGGAAACTGCAATACCTAAATAAAGACACTTCTCCTGGCCCGCATATTTTCCACAACGCTTAGTGTGATGTTCTCACATTCGCTAAGCCGAGGCAGATTACCGGAAAATTGGAAGTTGGCTCACATCACACCAAGTTTTAAGGGAGGTCAACGGAGCGTACCTCCTATCTGCCGGCCAGTAGCACTACTCTCAACACCCTCAATAATTATGGAGTCCCTGAAATGCGACGGTCTATGTGACTTCTTACTCTCCATAAAATATTAAGCCCAACAGCAAGGTTTCAAGAAAGGTAATCAACCTGCTAACTGTGGTGGACAGATGGATAACCATTCTTGATTGCAAGGGGAAGGTTGACGTTATATACCTTGACTTCTCAAAAGCTTTTAAGAGGGTCAGCCATACATGTCTTATCAATAAGCTCAAACGATTTAGTATCAACTCGCCTTGAATTGATTAGCTCACTTCAAATCTAAAAGATCGGCATTTTAAGTTCAGGGTTAACTTCACTTTCTCTCAGGCTATGGAATGTCCTAGTGGGGTCATCCAGGGTTTGGTGCTGGGACCTCTCCTTTTCTTGATTTATATAAACGATCTCTCACAGCAGGTACCGTCAGATTTATTACTTTTCGCTGGTGATGTGAAACTCTGGAGAAGTATGTACCCACCGGCATTTCAGGAGGATCTGTCTGACTCAACTTCAAAGTTGGACAGATGACAACGGACTCACCTTTAACACTTCAAAGTGTAAAGTAGTCCATATGAGACATATTGTAGACTACGAATACAACCTAGGTAACTTCCCTCCAGAGGTATCATAAGTTGAACACGGTTTGTGCACCTGGGCAGTATCACGGCCCTCACACATACCAAATGAGATCTGTGTGGCGCATATGTATTTGGTGCCTCCTTGTACCAATATCTATATGTTAAAATAAATAAATAAATAACCTCACGACCTGAAGCCTTACGCCAACTGAGACAAAAATGCCTTCCGAGCAAACATTGCATCGGTAACACTGAAGCGCATTTTCGGCCAGTTCAACGGAAGAGCTCTCCACATAATTCGTTCCCATTTAGAGTACGAAAACATAGTTTCCTCCACTCCAAAAGGATAGACACACTAGGACGTATTCAACGGCGAGTCACAAAATTAGTTCGGGGACTCAAATACAAGTCTTTTGAAGAGCGCCTCCAATTACTGAACCTTTACCCACCAGAATACAGGCTTCTTAGATGTGATATAATAGTAACTTATAATATACTAAACAATTCAGGACATCCCTTTAAGCACCTACTTAAGCTGAGCTCCAATACATACCTTAGGGGTTACACTTTGAAACTGAAGATACAACATGGAAGAACGGACAGTAAGCGCACCTTATACTCCTTTAGGGTAGTCAAATGCTGGAATTAATTTTAAGCTGAACTAGTACAAGCTACTTCTCAAGAACTCTCAGAGAGAAAACTTGGCATATTCCTAAGGACTAAGGACAGTATCTCACCATTATTTACCGATTCTTCCTCTATTTTACCGTTAAATATCCCTAGGTTCATGCTTGGAGGCATCGGTGATCCACTGCTACTAGATACGGAAGCCTGTTGAGCGAAAGCTTCTTCTAGAACCATTTGACATTATTAAGCGCATATATATTTGGTGCCCCCTTGTACCAATATTTATGTGTTCAAATAAGTAAAAAAGAACTTGCTATATGTTCAAGCGACTGGACATGACTGACGAAAACGTACATGTAGTATGTCTTTAAACTTTCATCCACGTTTAAAATTGTAAACGTGAAGCACAGTGTTGTAATTAGAGACTTTACTACTGAGCGTCGTGAATTCTTAAGTTCTGTTACATCAACTCCGTCACTTAAGTAGGAAGCCATGTTGGCTCAAATGATAGGCACTGGAAATAATAAAAAACTCACTATAGTACGTACGCATGGCAGCAAATTAAGTACAAGTTTTTTTAACACCTGTTGGTGACATACCCCAAACGACTACAAAAAAGTACATTACTGGAAGAAATAAAGGGCTTAGATGGTCTCAAACCTCAATATCTGAAAATTAAATTATAGAAATAAGTGAGTGCATTTAGTGGTACTGAAAATAGTCAAAGAAAAATTTAGAGAGATGTGAAACTATTCCAACAAGTATACATACTGTGACTCAATAGTCAGAAAAGCATCTAAAACGTACTGTACTTCTTTCGATGTGGACTTAACGGTCGTCTTGCTAAGATACGACTGATCAACGTGAAGTTTCATTTCTTCCAGTTTGTAAACCGCCTCCTAAGGGTGTTGTTATCAGAGATTTATTCTTACGTTCATGATTTTGTAAAAGTTCTGGTGTGTCGTGTAAAAGTAGCTATTAAGTGGTCTGCCATTTATATCGCACTGTAATTCTAAACGAATGTCATAAACAGACTGGTAACTAACGTTTTTGCGGTGGAAACACTAGGTGTGGTTCCTACAATTTTTTTAAATTAGACAAACGTATCTTTACTTTGAAGACAGGACGAGCGCGTTTAGCATACAACGAGGACGGTAGCAGATACTCAATAGCCTCATTGACCTGTTCGGGTGTGAAATGGACAGGGTCATAACCCATAATTTGAGCAAGGAACTTTCTACCACTTTCATATTCTTTCTTTTCGATACTAAGTGTCATTTCTGAAATTCACTAATAGTGAGTTATATTGAAAACATACCGTTTTCCTCAATGTTTTTCAGATAACTCTTAACAGAATTGATCTTGCTTGAGTTTGGGATTCCTAACGATAAACTTCTGGCTCCGTAAGAAGCTTGAAAACATCTGGAAGCAAATAACGAAGTAAAACGATGTAGCGCAAACATCGTCTTGCTGCCTGAGGTCATTCCTTGATGTTCTACACAAAGCAAATCAATCAACAATATCTTTGTGACGAGCATGTATAAAATGATATATTTCTTCGCCCTCGCTTCGTTATCTTGGGGTGCAGTTTCAAGTTGATCGTTTCATTCAATGTGTGTGTCCTATTAGTTTAAATGTACGGATACTTGAGGATTTGTTAATAATTTGAGAAGTTTAATATTTTCTTAATGCTATTGAATGTGCTTACTCTAGGGCAGTGACGAAGCCTATGGTTGAATATTTGGGTATAAAGATGCCACAGGTATTCGGAGTTTGATAATGCCTGGAGGTATTGGTGATCCCCTGCTACTAGACACGGAAGCCTGTTAAGCGAAAGCTTCTTCTATTCCGTCCGCAACCATTTGAACCATTTGAGCCTTTACCAGTAGCACCTTTATAATAGAAGTATATCAACCCAGTCAAATCAGAAGTGAAGAGATTCGAAGTTATACTTAAAAGACGGTCGATTTGTTGAGAGGCATTTGATCTAAGTTGGTTAACGGTTGTAGGAGATGCGTATCACGACGTGCCCACTCGTGATCTGGTGTAGATGCGTGACCAAGAGCTTTCAGATAGTTTAGTCCAGTAAAGTTAATGCTGTCAGCATCAACCGTCGAAAAGTTACTTACTTACTTACGCCTGTTACTCCTCGTGAAGGAGCATAGGTCGACAACCAGCATTCTCTATCCAACCCTGTCCTGGGCAATCCTTCCCATCTCTTTCCAGTTGTTATCTTTTTCATATCCGCTTCTATTTCCCGACGTGATGTGTTCTTCGGCCTTCCTCTTTTCCGCTTCCCTTCAGGACTCCAAGTCAGCACTTACCTCGTAATGCAGTTTGATGATTTCCTCAATGTATGTCATATCCATTTCCATCGTCTTTTCCTAATTTCCTCTTCAGCTGGAAGCTGGTTGGTTCTCTCCCACAAAAGGCTGTTGCTGATGGTATCCGGCCAATGGATGTTGAGTATCATGCGTAGACAGCTATTAATAAATACCTGTACCTTCTTGATGGTGGTTGTTGTAGTTCTCCAAGTTTCGGCTCCGTACAGTAGAACTAACTGTCTTGACGTTCGTATTGAAAATTCTGACTTTGATATTGGTTGAAAGTTGTTTTGAGTTCCATATGTTCTTCAGTTGAAGGAATGCCGCTCTAGCTTTGCCAATCTTCGCCTTGACGTCTGCATCTGAGCCTCCTTGTTTATCGACGATGCTTCCCAGGTATGTGAAGGATTCTACATCTTCCAGAGTTTCACCATCAAGAGTGATTGGATTGCTGTTCTCCGTGTTGTATTTGAGGACCTTGGTTTTCCCCTTGTGTATGTTGAGGCCTATTGATGCAGAGACTGATGCTATGCTGTCTGTCTTTATCTGCATTTGCCCATGTGATCTGCGAAGTCCAAGTCGTCTAATTGGTTCTGAGCTGCCAATTGTATGCCATGTTTTCCCTTAGATGTAGTGGTCTTCATAATCCAGTCGACCACCAGAAGAAACAGGAAGGGAGAGAGTAGACAGCCTTGTCTTACTCCGATCCTTACTTGGAATGCATCTGTCAGCTGTCCTCCATGCACTACTTTGCACTGTAGTCCGTCGTATGAGTTCCGGATAATGTTGACAATCTTCTCAGGAACTCCGTAGTGTCGAAGAAGTTTCCATAACGTCCTCCTATCTACACTGTCAAATGCCTTCTCATAATCAATGAAGTTGATGTAGAGTGACGAGTTCCACTCAACTGATTGTTCGACGATGATCCGTAGTGTCGCAATCTGGTCTGTGCACGACCGGTCCTTACGGAACCCAGCTTGTTGATCTCGAAGTTGAGCGTCAACTGCGTCTTTCATCCTGTTCAGTAACACTCTGTTGAAGACTTTACCCGGTATTGACAGTAGTGTGATGCCTCTGCAGTTTTCACATTTGCTCAGATCTCCTTTCTTTGGAATCTTGATGAGGTGTCCTTCTTTCCAATCCATCAGCACTTGTTCCTCCCAAATCTTCTTGAATAGAAGATAAAGCATGCTTGTAGTTACTTCGATGTCTGACTTCAACGCTTCAGCTGGTATATTGTCAGGTCCTGCTGCTTTCCCGCTCTTAATTTGTCTGATGGCTATCCTGATTTCTTCGTTTGTTGGTGGATTGACATTTATAGGAAGTTCTGTGTGCTGCTTCGATGTCCAGAGGATTCAATAGAGCTGGTCTATTCAGGAGTTCCTCAAAGTACTCTACCCATCTGTTCCTCCGTTCTTGAATTTCGGCGATTGGCCTGCCTTCTTTGTCCTTGACCAGTCTCTCTGGTTTACTATATCTCCCTGCTAGTTTCTTCACAGTGTCATATAGTTGTTCCATATATTCTTCTCTTGCAGCTTTTTCCGCTGTCACTGCTAGGTCTTCCATGTATTTCTACTTGTCGGCTCTAATGCTCTTCTTCACTTGCTTGTTTGCTTCGGTGTATTCAGTTTGTGCTTGGACTTTCTCTGCTCGTGTTCGGCTGTTGTTAATTGCTGTCTTCTTGTTCTTTCTTTCTTTGATCCTGTCCAGTGTTTCTGTAGAGATCCATTCCTTGTGATGATGCTTCTTGGGGCCCAGAACCTCTTGACACGTTGAAGTTAATGTTTCTTTGATACCTTTCCAGCTATCCTTCATAGTAGTTTGTTCTTTCAGTAGATCCTGTAAGGCTTGGAACCTGTTGTTGAGAGCTACCTTGAATTCATTGAGTTTGTCAGTATCTCGAAGGAAGGCTGTATTGAACCTTTGTGGTGCTGTTCGTCCAGTTGTCCAGTTCTTCTTTAGCTTCAGTTTCAATTTGGCCACAACCAGATGATGATCTGAAGCTATGTCCGCTCCTCTCCTGGTTTTCGCATCTTCCATTGTCCTTCGGAACTTTTTATTGATGCAAATATGATCTATCTGGTTCTCTGTGGTGTGGTCCGGTGAGATCCATGTAGCTTTGTGTATATGTTTGTGTGGAAATATCGTGCCGCCTATGACCAATTTATTGAACGCACACAGATTTGCAAATCTTTCCCCGTTTTCGTTTCTCTCTCCCAGTCCATGTAGTCCCATGATGTCTTCATATCCGGTGTTGTCCATTCCAACTTTGGCGTTTAGATCTCCCATCAGAATGGTGAGGTCCTTTCTTGGGCACTTCTCTATGATTGATTGCAGCCTCTCATAGAATTGATCTTTAACGTCATCGTTGCTATCATTGGTGGGTGCATAACATTGGATAATGTTCATTGTGATCCCCTCCTTCTTTGTTTTGAATGATGCTTTGATGATTCTGGATCCGTTGCATTCCCATCCTACAAGTGCATTTTGTGCTATTTTGGACAGCATTAGAGCCACTCTCTGAGTGCGTGGAGCGATTTCCTCTTCGTGACCGGAGTATAGCAGCACCTCTCCCGTATTTAGCCTTTGTTGTCCAGCTTGGGTCCAATGAGTTTCACTGATTCCCAGTACTGCCAAGTTGCTATTTGACTGGTCTTCCCGGTCTCCCACATTGTCCGGACGTTCCATGTACCTACAAAGATTGTTGCTCTGGTTGTCAGAAGGGGCATCGGCCTCATGTCTTCCGAAGGAACTCGGCTTTCACCCTGAGGCGTCATGTTTCTTCTAAATGAAGACCTCCTAACTCCCAGGGCAGAGTTTAAATTGTTTGAGTTATTTTTCTGGTTAGCTTTTTTAGCGAGTTAGTTTTCTACGGGATGGGGATGCTAACCCCATGCTTAATCCTCCTCCTTTACCCGGGCTTGGGACCGGCAGTAACTCTAGGAGAGCTACAGGCGGAGTTTCAAAAACTTACGGAACAACTTTTTTCGGGGATTTGTTTATCGCTACAACTCATTCCCCCTTGTAGGGTAATGATGACCATGAGATGTGGCCAGACAGTAGTTTAAACTTAATGAGCTTGTCGTCGGTGAATACTCTTCCGATAGCATGCTATATTAAGCGTCATCTGGTCTTCTCGCCCTAATATAAGGGGTCATATTGTACATAATAACAATGAAAAAAAATACAATGTAAATTTTGATTCATCATAAAATTCATAGGTCTTTTCATCTTTTTCAGCCTTCCTGGAAAAGAAAACAGGAATTGTAAGTGCATGTCAAGATACACTCATACGTCAGGAAGGACATACAAACGCGAGAAAAAAGGAAAATATACTTGTATACATGTGTTTTGATAACATGTAATAGAGTAGGAAAATTTTTCGTACGTTGATTTTTTGAAAAAAAGTACATACTTATATTCACATACATAAGAATATATACACAAGAATCATTTTGTCCTTGGCTTGTTTTATTTTATACATTGGTACAAAAAATGACTAGAGGAAATAAAATATTATGTTTTGTCCTACGCACAGTGATCGTTTAAGTGTTTCGGAAACCTTAACCTTCTTCCAGAAGACGTTGTCGTAGATCGGTTGTCGTATACCACAC